TTAGCAGCCTATAATAATATTGTACCCAGAGGAAATGTAAGGCCTTGGCGTGGGTAGAGTTTAAGTTATTTAGAAACAAATATCCTAACTAAACAGGATTGCATTTGAACTATATGTTAAAGATGGGTTGTGTAACTTTTCTGGTGGAGCATCTGTCAAATGCTTTTCTCTGTGGAGATGTTATTGCTTTGTCTGGAAAGTTTCACAGTATGATGTTTAAACCTTTCTATCTTCATGGAGACCAAACCAGATCAAGTTACCGATCAGATCTGTGGAAAGGCAACCCCGCCCACAGTCAGATCTGTTTTTCTAGGTATTTTTGAACTATAAACCCACCTATAATTTAATAAATGTAAGGTAGAGCTGTTTAATGTCACACTGTGGAACATACCAGGCAGAGCAATGACATCTCCATGGAGACAGGCAGATGGCAGACCCTCCACCAGAAAAGTTGCGTAGTGCTTAAACCAAAATGAAACCAGGACTAAAATGTGACTACTATAAAGTGGGAAGAGATTAGGCCTTCCAGGAGAGATTTCAATATTATGATAAACAAATACAACACAACCTTAGTTTAAATTGCTAATTCCATACCAAAAATACAGATTAACAGTCAAATATAATGTATAATGTGCAAAATAATTAAAATATTATATGGTTTTATTTGATGTTACAGTATCGATATTGTGGGCTGGTGTATCGATATATTGCCAAAAGTGTTTTTTTGGTTTATTTTACTAGATTATTTTCTGGAAGAGCTACAGTTGTCTTGCTTGTTTGGTTTGAAGAAAGAAAACTTGTTTATCCAATACATTTTCACAGTTTTTATAAGTAAAATGGGTGTTTTTCATATTAACTTGGCACACTTAGTGGTTTAATAAAAGCCTTTGTTTTTTACTGAACCATATCAAATCAATTTGCACTATATTGTATTGAATCGTAGTGCACTGTATCGATAAACATATCATATCATCGCATACTGTATGTATCGAAGTATGTGCCATATCCGCTACTTCTTAAAGATACCCAGCTCTACTATCCACCTTACTCTGCCTACTTTTACTTCTGACTAAACGCACTTCTGTTTGTGTTGGCTTTCTATTCAGGTAAACTGGTTTTCTCTTCATTTGAATAGAGTAGAGAAAAGAAAATACTATACAAAGTAGGTTGATTTATTGACAATGCACCTTGAAAATGGTTTTGTACTCTGATTCGAAGTTGTTGTTGAGCTTAGCAGCCCTATGCAAAAATCAAACCAGAATCAGACTGCTGGCGCCTGTATAACTTCCTGAAGGTCAATATTGATGCAAATTAGTGGCAAATAAAGTTCAAATAAAATTAAATTAAAAAGAATAGAAGTCAGATAGCTGTTTTCCACCACAATCTCATAGTATTCTTATGGATGTGGTCCCATCTCCATTGACCAGTATACATTTTTTTAGCTTCTTTGTGTATATGGCAGAATTTGTGCATGTACTGAATAATAAATCTGTACATATTTACCATAATAAGTAGTGCCATTGGTTGGTCAACATTGCAGTCCAATACAGTAAAAAACACTTCATGATGTAATAATTTAAAGTTTTAGTACCAGTTGCAGTTCGAATTCTGCACCTTCTAAAAGAGATATAATATGTCAGTCACACGGTATGATACAATTACGAGATTCATTTAACATTACGATATTATTGCAATATTGTAGAGATGCTTACAGAACTGAAAAAATGCCACATTTTCTTTCCAAAAGCTTTGACTTGGGGCTATATTAATGTCAAATAATTCAGATAGAGTTCTTTATACAATTACAGGTGGTTTTATAGCTCGAAAATATCAGGAAAAACAGGCATTCTGACTTTGAGTGGGGTCACCTCTCCACAGATCTGACCTGTAACTTTGTCTGGTTTGGACTCCATGAAGATAGATAGAAAGGTTTAATTCCACACTGTGAAACATTCCAGACAAAGCAATAACATCTCATGGAGAAAAGCATTTGACGGACTGACCCTCTACCAGAAAAGTTTCACAATGAACCTGACAAATTTAACGGTATATAATATCACAATATTTCACTTACATTCCTACGTCCTAAATACATTTGTAACCTCTGCTACATACAAACTTCAACTTTATTTAAAACCAGTGCGGTGGAAAACAAAGCACTTGCAATGGGAAAACAAACAAGCTACTGTGGGAGCTTTAATTGCAACATGGTAAACAGTAAATACATCAGATTGTTTCTAATGCCCAGGACGGGGGCAGGCCACTCCCCTTTAATTAGGCTGCTTTCAGATTAGTAATTATTATCAGAAGCCAGATAAGCATTATATTAGCAAGACCCGTAAGGCCTTGGCAGAGGTAGGAGAATGTTTTTTTTTTTACAGTCATTTACGATTTGGACTCCACTAGAACTAAACCAGGACTAGTAGGGTGAATTGAGACTTGAACTTGACAGCTAAATTAATTCTGGCCATGGGTTACCACAGTGATTCCCAGTTTAAAGCTGCACTGTGTATCTTTTCTGGTGCTTGTATCCATAGAGATGATAGTGCTTTGCTCGGAATGTTCCATACTACGGCATTAAACTCACCCATCTTACATTTATTGATTAAAAAACATGCATTCTTACTGTGAATAGGGTGGCCTCTTCACAGAACCAAACTGTAACTTGGCCTGGTGACATAGTGTGCCTAGGTTAAATAGAAAATGTTACATATTAGCAGAAGCTGAAACACATGAATACAATGACCAAATAATAAATAAACTATATGGATGAACTTGAACTACACCAGGATGGAAACTAGATTAAACCGTGACCAAATGTGGACTAAACCAGTTCAAGACTTGTGTGGGGGGTTTAATTGCAGCATGGTAAATATTAAACACATCCGATTGCTTCTAATGCCCAGGATAGTAAAGCAGGCGGCCCCTCCCCTTTAATTAGGCCATACCGTTATTATTATTATTATTAACAGCATATGGGCACGGAGCCAACTAGTCAACCAGCCAGCCACGGGACATGCCCTGAGTTTTGCCTCCCAGGCGTTCCCATAGATACACAAGGGTCATGTTTAATTGCGTCTGTAAATGGTCAAAAGCTCAGACCCCCTTAATACCATTCCTTGGGGTAATCAGGCATATTTTCACCATACACGGATAAGTAGCGAAAGGGAGAGGGAGAGAGAGATCTCCGAAGCCAATGCCAGTAGGTACCATGTAACGCACTGCCACTGTTAATACCGCTAAGAACTGACCCAGCTTTCGTTCAATGCGTCAAGACACAATCCAGCAAAATTGGTTTAATAGGATATTTTCACAATGTTTATTTCACACACTGGACGACAGGCATCTGATAAAAGGAATATAATCTCTACACAAGAACAACAAAATGTCAGATCTGTTTTATGGTTTGGTGAAAATAATATTGTGTGATAGTAGTGGTTCTCAACTGGTGGTCAGTGTAATACATACTTTTCATATGCACTTCTGTGTCAATAAATTAGAATAGATTGTCTTTCAATGTAACACCTAATGATTAAATCAAATGATTATCAAAAAATACCCAAGTTTGAAATTGTAGTATCATGACAACACTAGTCTACAGAATACAAAGAGAAAGAGTTTCCTGGTTGATTTATGTTCTGAACTAATACATGTTGTTGCGCGCTTGGTCCAGTATCTGCAAACTCCAGAAAGGCTCCACAAGGTTCAGGAATCAAACCCAAAAACTTCTCGCTATGGGGCTTGAATGTAGCCAGGCTGGCGGCACCTAGTGCTTCAATTTAATCTCTCCAGAGACTAGGTCAGGAATCAGAATACACTACATGGTTTGCAAGAACCCCAGAAGTGCAAGTTTGGGCACCAGCCAATCAGTGAAGAGCCATATATTCAGTGTTGTCGGAAGTTGTAGACTGCGCACCGGCCAATCAGTGAAGAGCTGTGAAGCCATGACATCAAACTCAAGCGCTTGTCTGGGTCCCTTTTGTGGTACAGCACAACAGTAAACAAAGTGGTCGAGATGGATGTAGACGAAGCCATACATTCTGTGTTGGCAACGATTCCCGAGATCGAGGATTTAAAGCTGGAACAGAGAGAATGTTTGGTGAATTTTATCGAGAGGAAAGATGTTACTGCCCTTCTTCCTACGGGATTTGGTGCATTACATACGTCACGACCAAACAGCAGTGATTGGTTAAATAAAAAAAGTACCTGCCTACCGTCAAGCGAAAGAATCCTAATGCTCTGAGGTCAGACGGTTTCCACGAAGTGAAACCGGCTGATGAGTCAGGCATATTAAAAAAGGCTGTATCCGTTTTCTTTTCTTGTAATAAAGTAAAATTATAGACATTATAGATATGTTGTAAAAGCAGCTCTTAGGGTCAAAATGTTATTGTTGTGTGCTGTTTGCGTCTAATTGTAATTCAAGAATGGTACCCTCTGCAAACCAGGAAATGTGCTGTTAGCATGCTAGCTGTTGTTAGTTAGAACTCCGCTCTGGCTTCTGAAAGTGTAAAGTGCTTATATAGTCATCATGGTGAATAATTAGGAATGTGTTAGGGAAGTGAGGAATGACTGGACTGCAAAAATCTGGTACCCCAAATGCATATGTAGGCCTTCTAATATTCTTTTTTTTTTTTTAGGCAGTAATATGGTCCCAAATTTTCACCAGTTGAGAATCACTGTAATAGTCCAACCATTTTTATCCACTGTTATGGCATCTGGACATTTTGTTGCATTACACCCAGTATTTTTTTCTTTTCTTTTTTCCTTTTTTTTAATATGGCAACCTCAGTGCGTAGGATCTCAGATTAACATAGACAACAGAGAGATCAGGAGTTCATTAAAAACAGTGAAGCTCGGGGGAAATAATGCCACATGGCGAAGCTTTGACAGTCATTTCAGAGCAGTCCATCAAACGCTAGCTGAACCATCTTTTGTTCCCCATTCGGCGGCTCATAGCGTTAGCCTCTTATCATTATTATAGTCCTTGTTTCGGCTCCAGCTTTAGTCGAGTCTACTGGGAGCGTTTTTGCAACTCTAGTCCCCGAAAATTTGCACAGACGACTTCCAAACATTGAACACAAATTAAATGAAAGATGATTGGAGTAGTAGGAGTTTGTTGTGGTGGCAAGTGCGTCCTCTTCGGAAAAACAAGGGTGTGTAGAGCCAAAATGGAGGCCCACGTTTCATAGTAGCAGAAGAAGTTTTGGAGGTTGGGGAAAATGGCTGGAGATAGAAAATTGTATTCGCTCAGCAGACCTGTAAAAGAATAACAAAGAAGGCAATGTAGATAGTTAGTATTGGGGTAGTGTGAAATCAAACTTTTTTTTTTAAATTTAATTTTAATTTTTTTTATTATAAATAAATAGTTGTTAATAGGGCTGCAAATAAAGATTATTTTAGTAGTCGACTAGTCAGCAGTTTCTTTTTTGATGTTTTTGTCTGTCAAAACTAGACATTTTTAACCCAGAAAACTATGAAAAATGGTGACAAATAAAGTGTATAATGACACACTACTAATTCAATTTTGGCAGTGACATTTTAACAATGTTGTTTCCTCATGAAAACATTCCCAGAGTTTTTTATTTCATTCACACATGTTTTTTTTTTTTTTAACACAGAGACCTCGCATATTTAGGCTGTGTTCTTTTCTCAAACAGAAAACACTCTGTTCCACCTTGTGATGTCATTTGGTAATACAGAAAGTGTTGCACTGTGCCATATGCCTTCACTAAAATCATTCATCTGGTTTCAGCCTTGGAATTAGCAATATCTACTAAACTAAAGGTAAAAGTTAACTTGAAACCGACCACTTGATGACATCACAAGGTGGAACAGAGCATTTTGAGCTTTGGAGATATAGATAGTGTGAATGTATGAACCAAATGTGTGCACCTTTCTACCTTCTAAGAGTGATGTCGCTGAAGTGGTTTTTAGATTGATTCAGTGTTTTTTTAACAAATTGCAGCGTATTTCTGCCACCCTCCCACGTGACATCGAACTAAAGCTGCTACAACAATGACGCGGCCAGCTACACCTACGACATGTTGACATAGGAGAAAGCGCTTTGCACCCGCCCCCACTCCACCACCTCCACCCTGTCCTCGTCTGAATTCGGGTCCAACACTTAAGGCTGAACGCGGTGTATCACCATGATGAATAAAGGTTTATTCCTACCGCTAGCTGACTGCTAAACGGGTTGTGTGGCTGCAGGGCTGTACACTTATGCCACAGGGTGCACACCTGTCTCTCCCTCCCTCCCTGCCTGAGATGGGCGGAGGAAGGGCAGCTCACTCTGAGACTACGTCACGTTTGGAGGGCGGAGCCTGTGCTTCCTCAGGACGGACGGAGGGATGAGCAATAGCTGGCCTTTCATAGTTCGTGGTCTGTGACTGACTCCAAGAAATCAGTAAGATTTCATAGCTATTGTGTAATGGATGGTCCAAAACCCAAATTGTGCTTGCATATGTGCATAAGATACAATGCAAAAAGAGTTATTTTGCATGAGATGGGCCCTTTAACAGCATTATAGCATGGCTTAAAGCTCACAAGAATCAATTTTGTGTACTATAGGACCTTCAAAAACAGGTTCAGATCGGGTTTGATAGAATAAAAGATGAACAAGCTCTTATCAGTAGACATTATAACATATTTTCAACTGTGCCCAAATGCCTTTACAATCCCTGTGCTATTGCTACTTATCAGTAACGCATTAGCTCGCATAGCACTCATACATAATACACCTACAGCTGACATCTCCAAAATGATCATCTCTCCTGTATCTCATGGGACCAATTTGGCTGATCGATTGGTTCCAGTGAAGTCATTTATTTGCATGTGACTTATTTATTCAGTCACGTTAAGTCAACACTTTCTCTATATGCTATTTCATTCAACTATTGAAATGAGTTAAGCCTTTTATAACCTACGGTATACGGTTCTAAAATTATTATTACTTTCCTTTTCATTTCCCACAGGTGTAGTTATAGTTGATAGATTGGCTTCTGTAGACACCTCCATTCACTTGAAGGCTACTATATAAACCTGTGATTGTCAAACTTTTAATACATTGACGCTATAGGGAATGTTTGGCTTTCCAAGTTGCATTTTTTTCTAAAATTAGCTGAGATATTGACTCATTTTGATGATTTATTTGAGGGTTTCCATACAAGAAATTTTTAAAAAGGTCCAAACACTAATAGATTTTAAACAGGGAATATTACACCTCTATGGGGTATTATCTGCTAATACATAACAAGTTCACCATGTTACCTGTTATCTGTTATTTTGAAAATGCTATATATAACTCACAACTCCTTCAGAACATTATCACATTGTATCAGGTTTGTGAAGTTGTAGTATATTGAACAGAATCGTACTGCTAACTGTAAAGCCCAATTTATGGTTGTGCGTCAAATCGTCTCTGTCTTAAATTCCCTCCACTTCCGAAATGTTCTAACTACATGATGAATCGACGCAGACAATAAGGGCTGGGATTGGTCCTCTCTACCACCACGCTGCATACATTTTCAGTACTCCTGCTTCCCCACTTAATTTTGTATATATAAGCGCCATTTTTAAATCCTAGCCTCCTAGCGTTGTGGCAGTGAATTATTTTGTGGCACATAGACCTCGACGCAGATCCATGCGAAGGGGGCAGTGTGCGTTGAGTCGATGCAGAACTATAATTCGGCCTTAATGACGGTTCAAATTAGCCAGGCTGGCGCCACCTAGTGCCTCCACTCAATTTCATTTCTCTCTAACAACTAGGTCAGGAATCAAAATACTATAGACGGTTCGCAAAAACCCCACAAGTGTAAGTTCGGGCACCAGCCAATCAGCGAAGAGCCAATGTATTCAGAGTTGTCAACGATTCGTGAGATCAAGGATTTAAAGCCAGAATAAAGAGAATGTTTGGTGAATTTTATCAAGGGGATAGATGTCATTGCCCTTCTTCCTACAGGAATTTGGAAAAGCTTAATATACCAGTTAGCCCCGTTAGCGGCACATTACATATGTCACAACCAAATAGCAGCGATTGGTTAAATGATAAAAAGTACCCGCCTACCATCGAGCAAACGAATTCTACCACTGCGAATTCTACCACTGCGAGGTGGCTGATGGATCAGAGTAGGTTCAAATAGGGCCTGGGAGAAAGTTGATTTTGCATTATGACCCTCTATAAACAGCCCAGAGTCAGGTCTTTCAGAGCCCTAACTAACTCATTTTGTCAAAACCTATGAAAATGAAAAATGGAATTAAGTGCGATGCCCAGAGACACAACAACAGTAGGCAATAGTACCCCCAAGCTGTGCCTTTATATTACACACTGTATGTTCTTGTTACTTTGGGTTTTTCAGCATAGTAAGAGCATTTGGCTGTTACTAATGATCTGCCCTGCTGTGGCTGCCTTCACTCTGGGAAAATCAGCACAGTTTGTTTTTTTGTTTTTGTTTTTTTTAGAAGAAAAACTTGAAAAACTGAAAAGCAGACAGAAAAGCTGAAATGAAGTTAAAAAGTTTTCAATTTTATGTGTTTATAAATTTTCTTGGTCTTCTTTTTGGTCATTATTTTTTGTAGTTTCACCAGTTTGGTCCTGTTTTTATCTTCGTTTATTTCTGGGTCAGTTAGAGATTCAGTAGCATGGTAAATCCAGAATTATTTAGCTCTGTATGTGTTGTACAGTGATATCAGTCTGGTCACCACTCCCTCTGTGTTTTTTTTTTTTTTTCATTTGACATGTAAAATGAAGAGGCTCACTACTCATTTTTGATTTACAAATTTGCAAGGTATTTCAGTCCCTATTTTCTCCTTTCTTTTTTCCTCATAAGCATACATATTTGTTTTGAAGAAGTGTATATTTTGGTTCCCAGGCAACACAGATTCAGCTCATATCTCTAGTCTTGGGTTTGCAATTTTCCTATACATTTAAGGTGATAGTTTGAAAGTCATACATTTTCCGAGGTCGTGCTTATGTAAAACATTTGGAATCACTATTCTAAAATATATATATCTTGTGTTATACTGTTAATTGGCTTTTTTGTTTCTGTATTGAGAAGCTGCATCTGTATCTATCTATCTATTAATGTCTATATTGTGTTGCTTATTTAGAGAAAGTAAACATTTAATAATTATGTAAAGCAGTTAGAATATTCACAGTTATGAATATATGAACATATTTAAATGTATTTCATTAACAGAATGCGTATGTTGAGGTTTAACCAAGAAATTCTGTTGTAAATCTGTATTAGTTTCCTTTATTGCAGAATATGATGAGCTATATATATTGAGACATTAGTGTGGTGTGGGCCAGTTTTAGTGCATCATCAAATTGTGAAGAACCTTGTGATTCCCAGCCGTACTTCTAAATTTCACTTGCTCCATTAAACCTCCAAAAAGAAGCCATATATGGCCGTGTCCTCACCTTCTGGTCCGTGAGCACTGAGTTGCTCTGCAGGGGGGGCAGGTGGCTGGAGAGCAGGGCGGCTCCGGGTCTGTCGTGTTCACAGAAGATGTTTCCGTTGATGTAGTGGAAGCGATCGCCCGGCATCAGTCTGTTCCTGCAGGTGGCACAGCTGAAGCACTGCACAGGGACAGACAAAGATATAGATTTGATTTAAAGGCGTATTCTGTAACTTTTTTGGCTGGGCTTCTTGTTTCTATGGATATGTCCTTGTTCCACAGTATGACATTAAACAGCTCTACCTTACAGTTATTCAATTCTAGGTGATTTTATAGCACAAAAATACCTAGAAAAACAGGCATTCTGACTAGGAGTTTTGAGTTGTATGCTGTTATAAAAACCTTTAAATATTGTAGGGGACGATTCCTTTAAAAGCAATTCTAGATTTACATTTTTAAATTAAACAGGGAATTGTGTGAATCATCTCTACTGCAAGTACTTAATAAATACAGATTTGTCGTACCTTTTTTTGATACCACTACATAAACCTTTACAGGATGGTCCAATGCATTTTTTTCTATAGTTATAGTATTAATCTTTATTTGGAAACATAAATCCAAATGATAATATTCCTAGTGAATATTTTTAGCCACTGATTTGTGCTGGTACTGCTTCACTTATGACTGTCAGAGGACCCTCCTTTGAATAAAATCTAAAAATAAAATCAATACAAAACTGTTTTGCAGACTCCATTTGTAAAAGGGATAGACTTATCTTTCCAGACAATTTAACATACATATTGTCTATACAATTAGAGATGTTATTGCTTTTGCCTGAGAACTTGTCTTGATGAAGGCAAGTAGGTGACATAAACAGGCCAAGTTACAGGTCAGATCTGTAGAGCCAGCTCACAGTAAGAATGCATACTTATTTATTATTATTATATTTTGTCAAAGCAAAGGATTTGAGAGTTCACTGAAAATTGACCTTACCACTTCCCTGAAACTGTATACACATATTTTTCAATAGAAAGTTTCAACGTTCGCTTTATTTAATGTTGCCGGGGGAAACAAGTCAGCTTTTAAAACCTAAGCACAATGCGCCCTTGGTCCTTTGTTGTGCCATTCAGCTTAATAGCATTAAAAATTACACAGCCACAAAGCAAGGCATGCCTTTTGGAGTCAGGAATTTAGAATAAACATTATAGCACCATGCCAAAGTTTAGTGAAATGTGAAGAATGCTGTTAGCCAAGTACTTCGATCATAACTGGATTATGTTTTATGAATAAAAAGCCAAGGACAAAACTGCATATTTGTAAGACACTGTAACATTTTCAATTAGACAGTTATTTAATTAAACTAATCAAGGTAGAATATTGACTGAATACCAAATAATATCAGAAAGATCGTTTAAGGTTGTTTTTTTTTACTTCCAGGTCCATGATTTACTTCTTTGCCATTGCAAGATAGGACCAGTGTTTGGCATCTGTTTTTAAATAATATTTTGTAACTGTTTGTATTTGTGTATACTTTAAAACATTAGAAAATATGTATAGTATCTCAAAATCGTTTTATTGCTTTTATCAATCATTTCAGACCAAGCTATGGAGTTAACATTCCGAAATAAAGTTAGATTGCTAGTAAATTTACGATTGCAGTACCTTAGTAGACGTCTGAGCTGAAAATGTTTCCGTAATTGTTTGTATGAAAGCTATTCTTGTACATTTTAGATTCAATAACGCAGATAGTAGGGCTACAAGATGAATTGCAATTGAATCAAAATCACAATTAGAATCAAAAGGCAGCTATTTTACCATAATTTCCTCCAAAAAACACAAAAATGTCTCTCTTTTTCTGAATAAAAACTGCTAACCCTGTAGTTCAGATCTGAATTGCTTTAAATTGGCTAGCTGAGTGAAGTGTCTTGCCCAAGAACACAACAACAGTATGGATTACAAATATCAAGGAACAAGCTGAAAATGTTAAGGAACTTAAATTGACAATACTTATTTTTGAAATGTGATTCTTGTATTAGATTGTCAGTTCATATTTCAGTCTTTTTTGGAAATTCTCCGGGACACGATTAAAATATGAACTTCGAACAAACCCCTATTACCACAATTCTTGTTTGAAAAATCATGATTTGATATTTCCCCAAATCACTCAGCCCTTGCAGTTCGCTTTATAAGACATAATGTGTACAGCTAATGAATAAGCAGAGCATGGCATAATGCAGTTAAAGGGGAAGCGTCTCTCCATCTCCCCTGTCTCGGCTCCAAATCCCAGATGTTGCTGTCAAACGAGCAGCAGGGGACAGAAGTGGCTGATGGGAAATCGGGGGGACTTACTTTAAGGTGGTAAACATTTCCCTGTGCCCTCATCACCATCTCGTTGGCTGGGATAGACTGGCCACAGGCAGCACACGCCCCGCTGTGCCCAAAGAGTCTGCAGACAGAATAACACAACAAGCTTTCAGGCATGTTTTAGCCTAACCCGCAATGTCAAACAAGCAAAGAGACTGTACCACTATTAAAGCTGCATTGCGCAACTTTTCTGGTGCTTGTTTCCATGGAGATGCTATTGCTATGCCTAGAATGTTCCATGGTATGACATTAAACATATCCATCTAGCATTTATTCATTATTGGTGTTAATGTTGCTCAGTAATACGTTAATTCCTTCCGTGAATAGGCTCGCCTCTCCACAGATCTGAATCGTAATGTAGCGTAATGCTGTAACCTGCTCGTCTCCATGGAGATGTTATTGCTTTGCCTGGAATGCTCCACGGTATGACATTAAACATATCCTTCTAGCATTTATTAATTACGGGGCTTTCTGTTGCTCAAAAATACATTAACTCCTTCTGTCTTTAGGGGTGACTCTCCACAGATCTGAATCGTAATGTAGCGTATTGCTGTAACTGGCTTTATCTATACTGTGGAACATTCTAGACAAAGCAATAACAGTTCCATGGAGACAAGCAGGTGGCGGACCCTCCTTTAAGCAGTAATGATGATAGATAATAATATTCACATCTCATGGTATAGTATTAATTGAAAAATGTGTTTATAAGTAATAATGTAATGAATAATAAGTAATAATGTATCAATAATAAGATAATAAAAATAATAATAATAGCAAAATTATTGATACCCAGATACAAAATTCCATAAATAGAACAAAACTGGGACTTTTCTTTAGGTTTTTGTACTCCTACTCGTATTTTGTGTTAGAAATGAAATTAAATTGTCTAACATCGTTGTGATATCATAACTGGTATCAAAAGCTGATCTTGAATTTTTAATATTGTGACAACATTTATGTAGTTTAACAATTACAATGTATGGGTTTTAATTCTGCGCTTACAATTACTTTTATGTAACAACTTTAATCTCTTGTAAAATATTTGCAGGGGCAGATAATGTCGTATTATTTTTCATTGGCAAGCTGAGTGAAATGTCTTGCCCAAGAATACAACGACAGCATGGATTACAAATTTCGAGGAGCAAGCTGCCAATGTTAAGGATAGTGGGCAAACATTACTGTCATCTGAAATTACATTCTGCTTAGAGACAGTACAGTACTCAATTTGCCCCACACTACCAACCCATATTGTAATGCTTAGTAATTGCTATCTAATGCTGTAAAAATGAACTTTGAAGTAATATTTCTGCATTTTTGTGGCCATTCACTTCATATTTGTCTACTAAACCTTAACTTCTAGGCCTACATATGAAGACAAATTTTATCACATATCTGATGTCGAGTAAATATTGCCATCAGGACCATCAGGATTTTCAAACAGTTCTACCTATCACCTACCATTAATCTACATTCTTTTCCCCTATTCTTTTGTCTATAATACCTGTTACAAACGTGTTCTGAAATGCATGTGATTCTGGTATCAGTTTAGCAGCTCATAGTTTTCAGTTTTATTAAATGTTTTTCTACCTGGATGTGTTTAAAATTCACTCCCTGAACAAAATCTCACTTCAGAAAATCTGTTTCACTGCATTTATCAATAATTTTAGATAAAAATATGGAGTTAATTTCCTAAAATAACGTTATATTGCTAGTAAACTAACCACTGCAATGCTTAGTAGAGGTCTGAGCTGAACATATTTTCCTTCGCAGTTGAATCAAAATCGCAATTTGAATCGCAAAGGCTGCTATTCTACCATAATTTCCTCCAAAAACGACAAAATATCCCTCTTTTTCTGAAAAAAAAACTGCTGTAGTTTAGATCTGTTCAAACATGTTCTGAAATGTGATTCTTGTATTAGTTTGTCAATTCATATTTCAGTCTTTTTGTGAATTAAAATGTGAACTTTGAACAGAATCCTATTACTGAAACACAAATTGCAAATCAAATGGCAATACTTGTTAGAAAAATTTTCCCAAATCAGAAACCTAAATTGTGAAATAATAAAAAAAAATATCTCAATCAAATATTTTAACAAAACCGTCTCCATCTGTCCTAATTCTCCTTTCCTCTTCTTCCTCTCCTCCCTGTCCCCTCACCTGATGTAGTCGCTCCGGCACAGGATCATGCCCCCTTTGCTGTAGCAGGTGGTGCCGATGTCTCCGAGCTGGGCCTGGCAGCAGGAGCACTTGAGGCAGCGCGTGTGCCAGTAGCGCTCCATGGAGAAGAGAAGGAAGCGGTCGGCGATCTTCCCCCCACATCCGGCACACGACCTGGGGGCTGAGGGTTGATTGTTCACCATACTGCCAACAACAAAAACACAAAGAGATGAGAGGTGAGCGCCATGTGTGGAGAAAAGTGTGTATGTGGGCCTGTTGCTTATGATAATTACTATATCGTAGGGATGGGACAAGGTATGTCACGAGATTGCCATTCAGTGCCATTCAGTTCACAATTCTGAATTCACAATTTTTAAATATTTAAAGGTGCACTGTGTAACTTTTTGGTTGGGGATATGTCATTGCTCTGCCTGGAATGTTCCACAGTGTGACATTAAACAGCTTTACCTTGTTTTTATGCAATTACAGGTGGTTTTGTAGCTCAAAAATAACTAGAAAAACAGGCATTCTGACAGTGAACAGGGGTTGCCTCTCCACAGATCTGACCTGTAACTTGGTCATTCCAGACAAAGCAATAACATCTCCATGGAGAAAAGCCTTTGACGGCCCTCTACCAGAAAGGTTACTTTAATTTTACAGTTTTGGTGTCATTGTAGCACTGCTCTATTCAACAAAGTTAAAAAATTTATCTAAATCAAACATAAAAATATGAGGAAAAAAATCTTACAAGATCATTTTCCTCATCTTGTCCTATCCCTACTATATTGTCTATTGTTCAATACATGTATAAACATGTCATGATAAGAAATTTTGAAATACGACATATTGCTGAAGAAAAAATAGACAAAACCAAAATTATAACAATAAAAACCCTGAAGAAGGATCCCCCGACCCAAATAAAAAATAAAAACAATGTACAGTTTGGTTTAAAAACATACAAACTGCATACAAACAGAAATAAAGAGCAGAAGGCAACACTTTGGTAGTTAGTTTGAAGCTATAATGATTCCTAGAGGTCATTTATCCAGCTCTCTACAGCTTAAATCTTATCTTGGTACAGAAAAATAACAAAAGGTTCCCCACTAGTACAAATAAAAAGTACCAGGACAAATATTGACTCCCAAACCTTATTGTTCCATCTAATCCATATAGTAATTATCGTAACAGGCCTAAATACAGGACAGATGACAGATGGAACAGTCATTTTTGGGAGTACATTTTTATTGTGTGTATTTTTTCAGCAATACAATATGATTTTAGCTGTAGAAGTCTGAATTATGAACTAAAACTAAATAATTTTATTGTGTTAAATGGGTTGTATTCTGCCATTTATTCAATTCAATTCAAAATTCTAAAAGGTTTATTGTCTTTATTGTCAATTCTTCATACAGAACATATGAAGAATAGAAATTGTAGCTTTTTGGCAGCCCAGTGGTTAGAAAGGGAAGAGAGTTCAGCATCCTAACAGCCTGGTGGATGAAGTTGTTATTGAGTCTGGTGGAGCAGGAACAGAGGCTTCTTCCTGTACTTCTTCCCAGAGGGCAGGAGGCTGAACAGATTGTGTGGGGTGGCTTACATCACTCACAATTGTGATGGCTTTGCGGGTGAGGCGTCAACTCAGTCTTTTCACAATGTTGTACGTTAAGAATACTTTTTGGGGGATAATTCTACTTTATGGTTTTGTTTCAGTATTATCGCTTATTGTCTATATTTACTTCAGCAATATATCATACTTGAAAATTTGTTATCATGACAGGCCTGTGTGTATTTTAAAGGGAATTTGTAGAATTTGTAATTTGGATGGGGTGGGACAAGACACACTGAGATACAAGACACATGAGATACAAGATTACAACACAGTTTTGGGCTCACCATTTTTAATATACTGATTTCATATTTTTCTGTCACTGTAGCGCTGCTTTTTGGAACTACAGCTTCTCTAGAAATTTATCTTGTCTTCACGTAACCTTTTTTTCACGATCCAAATGTAAAAATGTGGGGGAAAAAATATTCCTTATGTGTGCACAAAACAATTTGTCTTGCGAAATCTTCTGGCATGAGATCTTGTCCCATCCCTAAAATAGTTCTTGTTTCTATGGATATGTCATTGTTCTGCCCGGAATGTTCCACAGTATGACATTAAACAGCTCTACCTTACATTTATTCAATTACAGGTGTTTTTTTAGCTCAAAAATCCAGAGAAAAACGGGCATTCTGACTGTGAGCAGGGTCACCTCTCCACAGATCTGACCTGTAACTTGGTCTAGTCTGGTCTCCACGGAGATAGATAGGTTTAAAACCAGACTGTGAAACATGGAGACAAGCATTTGACGGATACTCCAACGGAAAAGTTACACAATGCACCTTTAAATATAGACAATTTTAGTTTTGGGGAATAGCTAAAAATATAGAAATTTTGTAATGGGCCTGAAACATTTGGCTTTTTTACCAATGTTTTTTTTGATCATTAGACTTGCGATTTATGTTTTAGTAATACAATTATTTTCAAAGTTCAAAATTTAAACATGAAAATTGACAAAAAAGGCTGAAACATGAACTGATATACTAATACAAAGATCATGTTGTACAGATCTAAACTAGAGGGTTAGCCGTTTTTATGCAGAAATAGTCAGGGTATTTTGTTGTTTATGGAGGAAATTATGGTACTTAGGTTTAGGTGGTACTTGGATTCATTTTCCAGTCTTATTTGATAACACTTTATTTTACTTCATCATCTAGCTGGCTGCTCATTTACACACATATTAGTAGTTCATTCGGTGTTTAGTATTGACTTGGGCTTCACAATTGTATTAGTCTGTATAACCTTATTCTGTGGCTAATACATCCCTGTCATTAAACTCCTTGTTAATTGTTAATAGAATGATGTAGGGACTTTTTTTTTTTTACCATGAATTATCATCCTAACAGGCTTCGGTAGGGGTGCTGTTAAGGGCTAGGTCCACAATGCTTCTACACGTAAATATTGCAAACCCCTATGTAACTAGTTTATTAACTGGAGAGTGTTAGTGATGTCTTTTTAGCAGCAGAATAAGCTTATAAGACCAAAATACTAATTAACATTGATTTAACCGTGTATATGAGTGCAAATTAGCAGCTTGTTAGATTCTAATGAGTGCACCTTAAAATAAAGTGTTACCAGACATTGTATTCTTTACGCTGCTGTAGACGTAGATGAGCAGACGGCGTTGTATTAGGTTAGCAGGTTCAAAGGTTGCTCAAGAGGTTGCGTCCATGGGCAAGACACTTCACCCACATTGCTCAATCTGGCCATTTTAATTTGGTTAGTATGTCAACAGGAAGGGCACCTGGCATGAAAACAAATATTTTCATAATTATTACTGCATGAGTGTGTAGAAATTTTAATTTGGATGCTATTACTTCCAATTATAAACGTCACGATAGTTTCAAAGGTTGTTTTAGGCAGAGTGACAGGAAAAACTCAACAGCTCAACTTGTTTTAAAGTTGTTCATAACATTTACTAGTGTTTCCTTCTACGATACAAGTAATTATTATAATTTCAGATAAATAAAACTGTAATTATCTTCACTAAAACTTGGCACTGACATCTCTGTGACTAATAACCCTGTGACTCGAGTCAACAACTATTTCAAAATTGCACACCTGTTTACACAATCATAGTATTAATTATAAAAAAAAAAAAAAATGCAGAGTACATGTCAACTGGTGCAATGTAGACTATTATCCTCCAGCACAAAACTATCTTGTTTGTTTTATCTCACATTTCCATACCTTATATTGTAAATAGCCATTCTAACAATGGAATATGTTTAAATCTTGGCTATTTTAAATACAATTACTTACTGTTACATAAAGTCAAACCAAGTTGTGTTGTTTTTGTTAGTGTGTGTGTTGTGTGTGTGTGTGTTTAGTCATTATCACAAACTTTGGCTGAAGTCTCCAAACCAAAGCAATGCAATCAGGGCAGTCAACATCTATTTTTCTCACCTGCACTTGAACGGTGCATTGTTATTACATGTTTAGGGTTGTTTTGCAGCCAGAATACCAACAGCAGAACGTAGCATTAACAATCAGTGTCATAAACACATGAGTGTACACTTGTTGTTTTGCATTGTTACCGAGCCCACACAATCCGTTCAGCTACATGTTAAGGGCATAGGAACATATCTGTAGGAGCTCGTGCCAAATTGAAGTTGTTCTACTGTTGTGGGAGCGGATTTAAGCTTGTCAAGTACGCATGCAAGTAAGAAGCGGTATTTTTAGATTCTGGGTTGTTTAAACGCGTTTTAATTTTTGAATATTGCCAATTTAATGCAGTTATAGGTTTACTAATTATATTCTTCTAATTCTACTAAGTAATTCTATAATGTTGCTGTATCATTATGGCACGTTGTTAAGGTTGGTTTCTCAGTAGAGCAGTTTTGGGGTAACTTTGCTTGCCACTCTAGTCTCTCACACAAAGCAGTGAGGAAGGCAGAATAAGATACTCAATTCCCGAACAGAGGTGGAAAAATAATAAACAAAGGGTGATTAATAGGTGTAACCAAACATGCGGTGCAGACTCATCACTGTACTTACGCACTTAAAAGTTATGCACTTGAAAATGAGCACAAACTTGGCGCTTAAAAGATGCACGAGTTTTACAAAGAGATTGGGTTAAAAAGTCACTAAATGGCACTTTTGGAAATATGCCAATAATGAAATGAAAATGCAGTTTTGATTAAAAATGAAGGACGACTGCACAAACTTGATCCAAAAACGCTTCCTCATAACGCGTGCATTGGCCAAGCTGTGCGTAAAAAGAACATGGAAAACCATTTGCCAAAGCGCGCGCTGAGAGAGAGAGAGAGAGAAAAAAAAAACATTGGCACGTTACCTTTCCGAGCCAAACGTGTTGCTCCTGCGGTGAAGTTTGTAACGAGGGCGATATCACGACAACAACCGCAGTTTACAGCTTCAAAACCCCGCTTAAACTCGGCATTTCGTAGGTCTTGGAGCAGCAAAACCAGCACACACGGAGATCGGGGGCAATAGTTGATAAAAGTCCCTGAAAATCCCGCTTAAAACAAACCCAAAACTACAAGTCGCTTTGGAGAGCACTCGTGACGCATCGCTGTTTGATCTGCGCGTACAATCGCTCCTTCAGATGTTCCGAGCGCCTTTGACAGTCAGCGACACTATTCATCAAATTGCGCAAGGAGCTATTTAAATTATAGAGAAGGGACGTAGCGGACTTGAGGCGCGCCGTAGCCAATGGGAGCCGACGGGGGCGCGGCCAGAGTCAAGATGATTTATGGGTTTGTAGTGGCTTATTAATGTGCGCGTTCACGGCTCTTCCCAAAAAAGCTGCCCACATGTTTTCACAACGTGTCCGTGTGCGAGTCCCAAATGGAAAGCAGCTATAAAAACAAATGATAGTAGGCTACAAGGCGCGATTTATACTTGACATACTTTGACACTGTGTAAGTCAAGGGGAGAGATGGCAAAAGAGTGGGTTGTGCTGCCATGCCCAGACCAAGTGCTGTTACTACATTTAGACAAAAATGGTACTTCGGTATGTAGGACTAGACTGGAAACTGAATAGACTTTTTTTATTTTTTCACCTGTTTATCCATTTATTTATTTATTTTTAACCATAACTAATAGAGGACAAAATATTTAGCTGGCTCTTTCTATCATCATCACAACATTCTATAGGCCGATAACATTTAATACAGATGGGTGCAGGTAAATAAATACTGTTAAAGTGCAGCTTTCTGTGGGGATACAGTGAGTTCTGGGCTCTAGTGACTAAAAAATGATCCGTATCAAAATGGGTGAACTTACTTTTGAGATATTTCATGGCAAAATAGAATGTAATCAATTGGAAAAACTGTCTCTTGCCCCCATCTGGTACCAAATCAACGTGACAATGATTTGTCATCATCGTCACGTTCAAGCATCTTAAAAAACAATTCAGGACTGTCTCAAAAATCAATATCAGATCGCTTTTTGGGATTGTGAAAATTAATATTGCAATTTTGACTGATTCAAATACAAACTCAATTCTGAACAACAAAGCCTAACATTTTTTTTATTTACAAGAAAATTATGTCTAGGTATATTGTCCTCTGAATTTGACCCTACTCCTGTATAATGTTAACTGCTGTATAATGTTAACAGAATACATTTTGGAGGTCAGATTCAAATCAAGGACATTTTTATCAGGAAATTCTTGCAGTTACTTAATGATGACACAAACATAATAGATTACAACAAGTTATGAAATTGTAATTTAATCACATAGCATATATTAATTAAAATTCTGTATACTCATTGTTTTCTTTTGTTTGTCAGCTGGGCCAATCTATATTACTGTCTTGTGCAACCTCCAGCAGAACTATATTGTTTGTTTATCTCATATTTTTACAGTATTATTGTAAACTATACAGCTATTGTAACAGTTTAAAAAAAAAAAAAAAACATTATCACAAACTTTTCCTGAAGTCTCCAAACCAAAGCAATGCAATCAGGGCAAGACGTCTATTTTTCCCACCTACACTTGAACGGTACATTGTTATTTAGTGTTGTTTTGCAGCCAGAACACCAAGAGCCAAACGTAGCATTAAGGGCACTTACAATCAATGTCATAAATACACGCGTGTCCACTCGTTGTTTTACATTGTTAACAAGCCCACACAACCTATTCAGCTGCATGTTAAGGGCATAGGAACATATCTGTAGGAGCTCATGTCAAATTGAAGTTGTTCTATTGTTGTAAGAGTGGATGTAATCTTGACAAGTATGCATGCAAGTTAGAAGCAATATTTGTCTGTCTAAAAAAGAAAAGAACCATTATTTCTTGTGTTGTATTTCCAGGTGGCATCCAGTAGAGGGCACCATTTAGCAGTTTATCTTATATACAAGAATAAGTTGTAAGTTACTCCATATATGGTGTAAGCTGTAATGTTTTTATTAAGAATCCTGACTGTATTGCATTTCTATTTTTTCTGTTATTTTGATCTACAAACCATTTAAGAGTGTAATTAAATCTCTATTCAGTATAATCATCCATATAGGAGCTGACCTGTAACTTGGCCTGGTGACATCATGTCTCCATGGCCAAAGATAAGTTTAATAGTTTATTGTGGAACATACTAGTAACGCAGTAACATCTCCATGGATACAAACATGTGGCATATCCTCCACCAGAAAAGTTAACATAACATAGTGCACCTTTACATAACGTCAGTATCAACGCCGCCGCCCATACAAAAATCCCCACGTAGCTCGAAGCCAAACACTTTTAACACCTTTTTTCATCGTGGAAATATTTTTATCCTCCAAAAGTTGACACGCAGTAACGCCTCCCTCCATGACAGAGAGCAGGCTGTTGACTTGGACAAACTCCGGTCTGACGTTGGCGCATGTGAACAGTCAGTCACTTCAGGCAGATTTCAGGTAAAGCTCGAGTCAGAAATGATCCAAATGATTCAAACCCCAAGTCTCTGCTGTCAGTGTGGTCTCTTATGTAATGTGACTGCTCTGGTGGCCCCAGCTCACAGACAGTTGCCAGACATTTTGATTGACTGTTGAATGAAAGAAAGAAAGTGCTGCTAGAAGCTATGAGTCAGCTGTGGTGGATGAAGTACTCAGTTTTGTTACTTAAGTAAAAGTACAGACACCAAGGCAAAAGATTACTCAAGTAAAAGTAAAAGTATTTTGCGGAGAGTTTCAGAACAATTACAGGGCGAGCTGTTTAATGTCACACTGCGGAAACAAGTGACGAACCCCCAACCAAAAACCTTTAAAGCCGCGTTACCTTAATCTTCTCTTGTAAATGAGTTCATTTAGTTTTCCCCCAAAACAGTGTATTGTAAAAGTATCACATGAAAAAATATACTTATGTGAAAGTATTTATTTTACTAAAAGAGTAAAAAGTATTTTGCAGAGAGTTTCACAACAATTACAGGGTGTGATTTTGATTATGAGTTTAGCAGATTTTAAGTGATTTAAATTGATTTCTTCATTTTTCTAGCTGTTTTTGTGTATTTTTGTGTTTGTTTTGCTCGAAGAAATGTGCTAAAAATAACTAAAGAAAAGTTCTTTTTACTTTGTACTTCATTACCTTTCACCACTGCGAATCAGCACTGTTGTCATAGGAATTAACAATTCAAAACACAATGTCCTATCTTTTGAATGGTGAAAAGTCCTCAAAATGGCGACTCTAAAGTGGAAGCTGAAACGTAACTAGTTTGGATTTTTGTTTTGAAATTTGTGGTTAGCAACAGACATGCATAGCAAGATGATGTGCTAATTTCTTGTGAGGTAGGAAATAATTATTAAAACCTAATTTTGCTTCCACCAAATATGATGTCAATTTTTTTTACTTAAAATAAATGCATTCAGTGTTTATTTTAGACTCTTGTGGGCTTTAAGTCATGTTAGAATGTGCTTACCTCCTCAAAAACATACCTGGAGTTGTGTCTTGTTTCATTCACACATGCCTGAGTAATTCCTTTAATCTCCAGAGCTCAAAATGTTCCACCTTGTGACGTAATGGCTACCTTTTACCTTTTTTTTTGCAGTAGTTTCTGTTTGAGAGAAGAACTCAGCCTAAATAAGTAAACAAAACACAACTCCCGGTATGTTTCTGATGAGGAAACATTATAATATACGTGCAACAAATCAGAACTGTTGCCATAGTAATTAACAATTCACAACAAAATAATCTGTCTTGAAATTGCGACTATAAACTGGAAGCTGAAATGTGATTAGTTCAGAGTTTTGTTTGGAAATCTGTGGTTAGTAACAGAGCTACACAAGGTGCTATACTTTCTTGTGAGGTAAAGGAAATAATTATTGAAATTTTACTTCCTGAGCACAAAATATTATGTTAACCTATTCCTGTGTATTTGTTGGATTATAATCACTGTTATGACATCTGTGACTTCTTAGAATCTTAGAATCTCCAACAGTGTTTCAGTTTATGGAGCTAACGATCCTTTTAATGTGCGTTTGACAGGTTTTGGTGATTCTCTAATTTCTATTTACCGGTAATTTGGTGTAAGTATAATCTGTTGTAAATATAAATTACAGTTTTACACCAATCGAGAAGCAATGTGTGAAGAACAGTTTAAAAATATGTTGAAAATAACTGTAAGTAGAGAGTCATATTGATGGCAGTCCAAATTTTAGGCATAATTTAAACTTACAAAACTTATTTTCCTGATACTTTAAACATGATTTGAACAAAATAAAGGTGTTTTCTCATCATTTTATTAGTCAAATAATTCCTGTGTACATTTCCATTAAAATGTATTATATATATACTTGACAAGTACAGACATAGTGGTAGTTAAATGATCCAGATTGATAACCTGATGGCATGTAGTTAGCTTGGAAGGTTTTCTAATGATTTAAAATAATATTGTAGATTGCATTTGAATTGAAAGATATTAGAATTGGTATTATTCCACTGACAGTTGCAATGAATAAAATATTTTCCATATAAAATGAGAAAATGTAAAAATATATGTTTTTATCAATATTGTTATCAGAATAATAAAATAAAATATCCCTTTTCCCACACCACAAGACGTTATAAAAGTATTTGATTCTTCCTTATTTAATTTTCTATGGAAAGGAAAGCCACACTGTTTAAAAAGAGACATTCTATCTCTGTTTACTTTAGGCGAGTTTTGGTTTACTCTACTGATGTCATGATTTCCTAGCCTGATTCATCAGCTGGTTTCCGTCTGACCTCGCAGCATTAGGATTCATTCGCTCGACGGTAGGCAGTAGGCTTTTTCCATTTAACCAATCGCTGCTATTTGGTCATGACGCATGTAATGCGCCGCTAACAAGGCTAATTGGATTATTAAGCTTTTCCCAAATCCCGTCTTTCCCTTTGATAAAATTCACCAAACATTCTCTTTGTTCCTTCTTTAAATCCTCGATCTCGGGAATCATTGTCAACAAAGAATGTATGGTTTCATCTACATTCATCTCGACTGCTTTGTTTACTGTTGTGCTGTACCACAAAAGGGACCCAGACAGGCGCTTCGAGTTTGACGTCATGGCTTCACAGCTCTTCACTGATTGGACGGTGCGCAGTCTACAACTTACAGGGTTCTTGCAAACCATCTAGTGTATTCTGATTCCTGACCTAGTCGCTGGAGAGAAATTAAATT